TGGGACACATCTGCCTATATCGCCACCATCTTCCGTCTCTGCTGTTGCTATCTTAAAAGTCTTATTGATTTTTGAACATGGTGTCTTAGTTGAACAGGGGCTACAACAATGTTAGTCATTGTTATTTTTCTGAATCTTACTAATTCACAATTAGCTACTGGATGCAGTCCTGGAAATAGATCTAAACCAACACCTGACCTGGAAGGGGAGAGCCCATTACTGAGAGTCACCAGAGCATAGTTATTGCACCAGAGCATATGGGAGGGTAATAAACCAGGCTGGAAGGACACAAGGAAAGTCTAGCTGTTGTGTATTATATCTGTTTCCAACACAAAATTTCAGGTTTTAGTTCCCTCTCAGTAAAGGTCCAGGTGTCCTATGCTTACCCATTTTCTACATTTTCTTCAGGTTCACCTGCACATTCATAACCATTAGCACTGGCTGAGTAGGTGCCAGCCCACTAAGGGAACATAGTGCTAATAGACCTTCTGCTTCATCAGCATGGTGTCCCAGTGCCCTACTGCACAGCTTCTTTTCCAAAGATTGCTTTGAGAGTAATTCAAACTGTCCAGTAATTAGAGATCTCCACTTATTTCCTCTTCCTTTGCTTTACTACCTTCAATTTAAACCACAAGGCCCTTTCTGTCAGCCCTGCTAATTATACCAAATTAATTATGTCAGGTCAAAAAGTTTGTCCTATGTTTAAAGATTGTTAAGTGACCCCAGGTCTCAGTTTATATGGCTTTCATTTTGCTTTACTTCGAAACCTATGAATAATTCATACCAAGGCTACAGTAGACAAGGATATAAGTGATGCTGCTGATCTTTGTGCCTGTTCTGGTGGCAAAACTCTTTGCAAAGTGAAAAAAACCATCATTTGGAGGAACAAGGTAACCATATGCTTGTAAACTTGGACTCATAAGTCCACCTGCTCCCTGGATGAAAATTCTTTCAGTACCATAATAGGCCCATGGTTATATGCTCTATGTTTCATTTTGTTTGCATCTTTAGGATCTCTGGCAGGGTTGGCCATTGCCTACCATATGAACCTGCTCATCCCAACCTACTTTCTCTCTTTAATTGATCTTATTCATTACTATGGTTGTGAATCTTAGGCTATGATGCAGTGATAGCTAGATATTTTTTAAAATTTAATTTTCTTTATTTGAAGTATATATGATTATATTGAACTAAAATAAGGGAGACAATGGTTTGACACATGGTAACTGATTTTTTTGCTAGTATCCTTCATGTCAGTGAATGTCAGTAAGCATGACCTTACTGATATTGTATATAGTAGAATATAATCGGAAACTTTGGACAAATACAGTAACATCAATTTACACTTAAAACTTCCAAGACTAAATTCATTTTTACTCAAATATAGTTTATGTGCTTTCTTACACTTGTATTTGACTATTCACATAGACAATTTTAACTTTTTTTAAAAAATATATTTTATTGATTTTTTACAGAGAGGAAGGGAGAGGGATAAAGAGTTTGAAACATCGATGAGAGAGAAACATTGATCAGCTGCCTCCTGCACACCTCTCAGTGGGATGTGCCCGCAACCAAGGTACATGCCCTTGACCTGAAATGAACTCGGACCCCTCAGTCCACAGCCTGAGGCTCTATCCACTGAGCCAAACCGGTCAGGGCAACAATTTTAACTTTTTCATGAAGTTTGAAGTATTATTCTAGACAGATGTTGTATCAAATAACAAACAACCTGGCATGGATGTAAAAAATGTTATTATCACTTTTTCTGATAAACAAAATGATGAGTAAACAAAGTTAATAACTTTAGCATTGATTTATAATTTTTCAAATACTCCTGAGTGTTTATACTTAAGTATCCCTTTTAGAACTTCTGAAGTTATTTTTAGGAGTTCATGATCACACAAGATGAATTTAAAAATTAAGAAATATCCTTCACTTTTGTTGTTCATGTGTTTTTAAAATGCTGTTCTAGGTCGGTTTGAATTTTTTTTCTTGTTTAAGATACAAATAGTGCCACTTAAAATAATACTAACAAGGACCACGCATCCAACCACTAGCAGCACCAAAGAAGAAATGCTAATTCCAGGATTAGGATTTGGATGGATCTCATCAGGATTTGGATGGATTTCATCAGTATCTCCTTGAGGAATAAACAAAGCTACTTGTGCAATGTTGGATACTTTTGATGTCAAACTGCTATTATCCACACTTTGAATGGCAATGAATATGTGGGTTGCATTTTCTTCTGAGATATTTCCTGGTTTAAATGTAAAGGTTTCCTTGGAGTTGGCCTCATTTGGTAGCAGATCAGTAGTGTTTACTTGCAGAGCATCATCAAACTTGTCTCTTAGATCCAGGATACTTCCACTTATTCTTATGATATACTGTTTAACTAAAAAAAAAAAAAAGTACATGTAGTTTAGAACTAGATCATACCATGTTAAATTCCTTTTTATTCATTCTCCTCAAAATATTGTTTAGTTATTCCAAGTTTATACTCATATCCAAAGCTTTAATAATTTTTCACTATAAGCTGAATTCTTATTTTTAAACTGCCATTACTACCTATTTTTGTTTGAAAATGGGACCAGTTAAAATGTGTTATATTTGACTGATTTAGAATATCTATACTGATATAAAGGTGATATGCTAATTAGACTGGGTCAACTGGACATCTTCCGGCCATCCGACTTTCTTCCAGACAAAGCCATGGTGGCAGGGGCTTAGACATAGGTG